GTCGGTGGTCATGTACAGGAACCCAAAAAGCCCCGGGACCCTTGATAATAAATGATACAAAAAAAGGTCGGGTGAATGAGTCATTTAATTAACGTTAAGCGCAATCACAACAAAACAGTAAAATCAAACGCTAGCGTGCACTTAAATAGCGCAGCGCCATCTAGTTCTTTTAGAACGAAACTTATATTTTTATCAATATTGTACTTTTTATTTGCTCGTGAACAATATGCCTATTTTACAATATTAATTGCATATATGCATTTTATGATGTTGCAATGTATCAATTCTTTTGATCAAATATGACCTTGAATTGTTTCGTCCTACTTGCGATGTTGAAATAGTATGCTTGAATAGGTCTTGCAGACAAAAAATTTAACTAAACTGTAGCTCCATTGTTGTACTGTAAAAACATCTATTCAAATGTTTGTTATACTAAAACCTATTCTAAATTTGCTTTACATTGACAATGATAAATATTTAACAGGAATAATAATTATTGTGTGTAGAATTTATAATTATGAAAAATGTACATACATTGACTTTTTTCTTTTTATCTATAATTATAGACAAATGGCCTGTCTAATATTTTTTCCAATTCTCCTATTGTCTTTTGTTTCATGATCATTCATTCTAATTTGATATAAGAATTATAAAACTAATTTGATCACTTCATTATTCCTTTTCTTATCTGTGTCTTAACATTGGATTTAAAAAAAATAGATTTTTTCTTCACGTAATTCAATCTATTTTCATTTGTAATGTAGGACTTCGGGGGATTATTAATTTCAATTTGATACTGAATGTTGATTCTAATATAGAGATACATCTCTAATAGTATTAAAGTATCTCTAGTACTACAATACTCGAGACTAAATATAATAGATATCAAAATTGATTGGTGGGTGTATTAAATCAATAGAATGATCGAGAGTAATGCACGCAAGTTTAACAACATAATGCCCGGCCTCAATTGCATCTGTGCGTGTTAAATGTCCAATTTTCGCGGCGCTGCCAATCTTTGTTATGATTTGTTTTTATCCTGTGTATGTGAACTACTGATTTTTATAAATGGACAGGTTATTGCTTAGAATTGACAGCTTTTGTTTCGTTCCGACTTAAACGCACATGTTGAAGTTCCTGACAGTTTCTATTACTAGTTCAAATCGTCACTCCCGCCAACATAAGTAATAATCAAAATGTCACTGTTTTTTAGCTTGTCCATGTATAGAGTTTAGTGATATGTTCATATGCTGAACGATATCAAAACATGTGCATTGAAAAATACGATCACAAAAATGTAATTTCGTGGAAAATGTAGGATTTAACAGATATTTTCCCTCGAAATTAAAATTCGAGTGAAGAAACTGTTTATTCACGTTTTTCATTCCTCTAGGGTGTAATAAAATTCGTAATAAAATACACAGTTTATATAAAAAAAAACAAATATTTTTTTTATTAAAAAGAATTCGCTATTATTTTACTATATTTTTTTTATAAAACTGCGTACGTTGCGTGTGCATGAGCGAGTTTCATATACGCAAATATAGTTTTAAAATTGTGCTTTATTATTACGATGAATAAAAGTGATTCATATTTTACATAAACAGTATTTTAAAGCCTTGAAAACAATATTAATTGCGAAATATATTTAACTATTGCAAGTTAAGTGATGTGCACTCACGTGTTTATCTCAAAAGACGTGTTATCTGTTATTCTTTATAAACGATGATGCATGTTATAGTCCGACTAATTTGTCCGACCCGGTGGGCGCATTTGAACTAAATTCAATCACTGTCTAGCGCCTCTCCGTCAATGTAAGAGCCATACTAGACTTGTCGTAATGAAACTGTCTGGTCATCTGTTTTCTAGTATGTCATTTTCAATGACTACTAAAAGAAGCCAATTTTTTTTATATATTTTCTAAAATAACTAAACATGAAAATAACTACTTTCATCGGACCAGATACGTATGTCGGACTATACGCTCTTGAGATCCAATTCATGTTGTTACACATCCGTATGCAAATTTGAGCACGTTTTTAATTTCTTTCTGTACATTGTTGAAAACATTTTTATTAATAATTTCAAACATGAAAAAGCTTTTTTCGCGTCTATCTACGCGACTTGATTTCAATCGAAATCGATTGGAATCCAAGACCTGTAGGTATTGCAGATATCATAAATTTAAATTCGCAAACGCGAAATTATAAATGCTTCTATAAAGTTTGAGATTGGAATTCTTTGAGGAATACTGCTGCTGGCTGGCGAATGTTTGAAAAATGGTCGGTATGTTAACTGTAGTTGGCATCTTTTTGTATTACGAGTGCATTGTAGAAGTCGAGCTTTGTAAATCAGAATTCATTCATAGTAGATGAAGATAACTATTATCTTGTTGTTGAGTAACGCATTGTCCCTACCAAACTGACATAAAAATGGCAGTGAAAGTGACTTGTGAAAGTGCTTACGATGTTAACACATGATTTCTTCACTATTCCATTAAAGTTTATTTAACGCTTTACGTAAATGCGTAAATACGAACGATTTTAACAATACGCAGTTGATATGATTGTTCAATTTGGATATCTTTACAGTATTTAATGAATAATCTGAATCTTTGTTATTTTTTTTTCAAATATTTAAAGATGTATAAATTTGTCAATACCAATATGGAATGGTCAATTTGCCCTTTTACTTGAAACTTTAAATGATTGTCAGTATTCAAAAACTTGATATATAATATTGTTATATTATTCATTAATTTTATATGTAATGGTAGTTTTGTGTTATACAATGCGAAGTGCAATGTTTATTAGTGCTTGCAATGAGGTCGCGTATGCTTTAAATAGAGTATGAAAGAGGGGAAATCTCGTAACGGCCTATTCGTTTGTTTCATCGGATGACCATGAATATTTTAGCAGCTATTGCGAATTGATTTATATCCGGAATGTATGCTTTGCGTAGACCCCATAGTTACCTGTCTTCGCGGAGTGTTGAAAAGATTTACCCATGTGTGTAATTGGAAGCAGAGTTCCACTTTTCTGCTGTTGAGTAATCAGCTTGCTAAGTTAATAATATTTTAAGTTGGTATATATTTTGCTATTAGTTAATAATAAATGATATTATACTTTCACAAGCACATTTCTACGTGATGTTTTTGGATACATTCTACAGATAAAAAATTGTTTTACAAAATATATGTGAATTGTGAACTTGTCTTATTCCCACGTTAGTTACGCGTTTCGTATTTCTGAAGTTAAATCTGATGTCGAATCATTTATCTCAATGTGTTTAATTTTCTTGTTTTAATAACAGTACAGTAGATCCAATTTGCTCCTCTGTATTTACGAGTTGAAAACTATATAGGGAGTCACTTTAATATTTCCACGACTTCCTTCGCTCGAAATTAGTTATGCGTTCCGAAGTTTCATGACAATCCGAGCCATATAAGACAAACAATTGATATACACATGAGAAGTTTTTTTTTCGTCACACTTTCGCGAAATATACAATGTTAACTTATCATCATCTTCAGTCTTTGTCTGTCCACTGCTGTCATAGGCCTTCCCTGATGCCTTTCATTATCACGAGTTACTTCAAATTATTTATGACCTGTGTTCGCTGTACCTTTTGGTTGACATCTCTGATGAATATTTGATATGTCCAACTTATATTACGCGTTGCTTTTATCGGGAAATATTTAATTTTAATATGTAATTTCATATTTTAATTATGCTGTATTTAAGTTTCTGTGTAAAGTGTAACGTGCATAATATTAAACTGCAATTTCGCTGTAGAACAAAAGTCCGCTTGCAACTTATGAATGTATTTTCAAAAGCGAATTTATTTGTCGCAACATCAAAGGCCTTTTGACGCGACAATATTTCGTCGAAATGTAGCGCGTTGGGTATCCGCTTTTCCTAGTAAAATTGAGAGGACATCTAATTGTCAAAGGGGTACGTCGACTGGATATTTTGCAGCGTTAAAGCTTTTGTTTAACTTGTGCAATTACACTGTTTCAATGTGTTAAATATCCACGTTTACGTGCAGCCCGGACTCGCATATCGATTTTGTACGACTCTAACAGAATATTCGTACATGTCCATTTATTACGAATGTTAAAATGTTGACTTTCACATTTTTTTTATTTTCATTACATGTCCAAAAAAAACGTATTCATAATTCGAATTGCCGCATCCCTCTCCTTAATATTTCTTTCATTTATTTTTTGTATTTCAAGAATATAAAATTAACGAGATTTATTCTTTGTTCCAGTATTGGTTGTGTGTGGTAGCATTGCTTTGTTCGGGAATTTTCTTTGCCGTCATCAACCTGTATTGGAAAAAAGGTAAGATGTCTTTAAAATTAACAATCATTATTACCGTAATAATAATTATGAATGTAATGTTGTTTAAATATAATTGACTAATTCCATAGTAGCCTATTGTAATTGACATAAAATAAAACATTGGAGGGATAGCAAAACAATTTTTATTGTTTCAAAAATAAATATTACTCTTTGTCGTCATACATTTGAATATATGAATGTAATGATTACCCTGTGTAAACTTCGTGTAAGTCTTCATTTATAACTAAATAGTTAGAACAGGTTTCGACGTGTTTTTGACTAATTTAAAATTGTTTTCGCTATTCTACATTAGCATTAAATGTAAACATATCTATGTTTTTTTGATAATCAAATTCCATAAAATAATACACACATCAAAATTTTTTGTCGGATTATACTTAATACATTTTTATAAATGCGTATGTTATGCGTAGATGGCTCAGGGGTTTCAGTACTTGACTTGTAATCTGCAGGTCCCGGGTTCGGATCCCGCAATCTACCAATGTGTTTTTCGATTTACGTATGTACTTTTATCCGAGTTTCTTTCGGTGATGGAAAACATCGTGATGCAAAATGCACATATCTGAGAAGAAATTCAAAGATATGTGTGAAGTCAACCAACCCTCACTGGGCCAGCGTGGTTGACTATGGCCTAGTCACCCCGAACTTAGGGTAGGCTCCGAGCCCCTCGGTGGGGACGTATAGTGAGCTGATGTATGTTTAGATGGATGGATGTTTGTTACAACGTATCTCCAAAATAGCTTTACGGATCTCGACGCAATTTCTACTTACTAAGATTTTTTTAATTCCACTTAGACGATTTCGCGGGTAAAGCTGTTATGATTAAAATGTTTATATCGAGTGTAGTTATTATCAAAGATTTATAAAATATTCTATATATTTAACATGCAAATTTAATTTTTTCCGTCCACCGACATTTGATTGCGCATTTAATTATCGTCACGAGGAAACCTTAACTCAAAGGAAACTAGTTTGATTGCCTCTCGTAGACTAGACTAGTCGACTCGTAATACAGCTTCACTGAGGATGACAATCTTGGTATTTAATAATAGCATTCGCATTGCAGGGTTCATTCTTTTGAAGCTTTTCTTTGAAACACAACTCCGTTAAGAGTTTTGTGACAAAGGCCTTTGTTAAACGGTAGATCCGTATAATACAGATATGGTCCCGTTTTTTCGATAAGTCATGTAATTAAAAGTTTGACGAAAATTAGCTATTGTTGTTTTGCTTATGATTCACAATGAATGATTCTCCGATTTACTTTGAAGTAATCTGCATATAATTTGTTGGGACTATCAACTCCTTAAAATGCCTGTGAGCATCTGAGGTTCCTCTGGTGTTGCGGATGTATGCCGTTAGATCAATTAATATAAGTCAGTATACTGTTCGTTTGTAATGTTCCTAATAATGCATTTAATAAAATAATCGATAAAGGTTTAGTTGTGGGCATAAACTCGATAAACGGAATCGTAAATTATCGGTCTTTGAAGCTTAAATATATACGTCCATTGTTAAAATTTTACCAATTTTTATTATTGATTCAGAATATCTTTGAGCAATTCTCTATATTAACTTTTGGCAATTTTCTTAAATAGGGGGTATTAAGATTTTGCTTGGCGTATTAATGGAATTTATATATATTTGTATTTCGAGATAATATAAGTTATAAGAAATATACGAAAAAAATATTATTAATTTTCCCCTCGTCCATAATGATAACGTCGATACCTAGAATATCGTTTAGATATTTTTTTGCCAGTCTGTCTGGCAAATTGAAATATAAGAGGATTAAAATTTACTGAGAAAAAGTAGAAGTTTATTTCAATAACGGCTTCATATTTTATATTAATAAGTGAACAAATTATTAGGCACTTCAAATATATAAAACGAAATATCGACAAGAGAGCTTTCTACGCAAGTTAAGTAGATTTTATTAAATTATCTTACTAATATTATAACTGCGAATGTTTAGATGGATGGATGGATGGATGTTTGTTTCAAGGTATCTCCAGAGCGGCTGAATGGATCACGATGTAAATTGGCATACATATAGTTTTCCTCTAAATAAAAAAAAATATTACTAATATTAAGTATGTATCACACAGCAGTGAAATTGAACCGGGCAACCGCGTGCCCTTTTCGTTTCGGTGTGATTAAAGTTTTCCTTTATTTAGGTTTGCGGCTGTGTGTTACTGCCTTTAGTCTAGATTCGTACGGATTCATTTTCTGAAACGTTTAATTTACAAATAGAATAAAAAGTACGCGTCAATTGTTTTCTCAATAATACTTCGGTATTTTTTGTAACATTGAATAACTACAAATCACAATGGATGTTTGTTACATGTAACATAAAAACTAATGTGTAAATTGTTTCCAGTGTTGACAATATTTGGCACCAGTGTATACGGCGGTGCGGTGATAGCTACTACCCTCGATTACTTCTTCGAAAGGATGATGATGCTTAAATGGGTAAGTCAGTCTTATTTGACTTTGATAAAAAGGTATTATCAATTGATACATATATATTATATATTACGGAGTATCGATAAGCTAAGAAACTTCGATTCTTATTAATTGTTACAGGCCATATATTAAAAGTAAAACTTACGATTTATATAGGTTTGGTAATTATTCTGTTTTTTGATCATTGGCTGGAAGAAGCTTTCTCTGCTATCGAATATTCATGCCTAGATAACAGTGCGTCATTTGATTCATTTCCATAGACAAACTATGCGGCCGTGTTAAAGTGCATTGCCTCTTAAAGTGGATCGTTGAACATATTTACATATATGGATAGATTAGAGATCAGATTATTTAAACTTGATATGTGTATTTGATGTACTTTAATTACACACATATGTATATATCAATATGATCGATACGAAAAAGTCCAACAATCAAAATTACTTTTGCAGACGTCTAGGACAGAGGTTGGCAACCTTTCTGAGATTGAAAACCTTTTTTAACGAGATTGAATTCGTATACATTAAAATGTTTTTTGTATTCATTTTAATATGTTTTCAAAGTTATTATGTTTAGAATTGAATATAATTTTAACGTCTAGAGAGCAATAAATACGTTCTAATTGGCCGTAGGTTAACAACCAGATAACAAAAATTTCTGTTACCAATTATATTTATTATAGCATTAGCTTTAGTAGCATTCATGTGAATTTGAGTAGAAGAAGCGAGAAAAGGTTTATGCAAAATTAAGCTCCTTTCATTAAAATTATTAGTGTTTAATTATAAATATTAATTTGTCAGCTATGGGAGCGTGCTAAGCTGGAGCCGGCGGTGCCCCCACCGTGCCGGCTCTCCTGGCTGACGCTAGCCGCTTGGCCAGCCGCTGCCATCGTTGGCCTCACTGCCCAATGCGCGCTCACCGCCACTGGAATATACCATGAGCAAAGTAAGAATATATAAGAGTAAGGCATTTCTGGCATAAATGCGAAAGTTTAGATGGATGAACGGATGGATGTTTGTTAAGAGGCTTCTCTAGGACATCTCAACGGATCTTAATGAAATTTGGCATAGATGTAGAACGTAGCCTGGAAGAACATATAGGCTACTTTTAAAGGTTTTTTTTTATCCCTCGCTTCGTCTTTCCTCCAATAAAGCATAAGTCGCCCTTATGCCTTATTGGAGGAAAGACGAAATTATTGAAGGTCCGATTTTAGTTGCGAGTAGTACTATAAGATGTACCTGTTTGCAGGTATAAGTGCTCAAAAACGACGACTGAAGGCGCAACAAGCTCGGCCGGTGACTCGTGAGCAACGCGCCGAGATGAAGCAACGCAAGTACAGATACCTCTATCAAGTCCGCACAGCGCATGGTGACGTCATCTCACAGGTGATTTAACAAAATGTTTTTATGAAGAAAGAAAAGAAAGCTGTTCACTTGATGTTAATTGAAGTCACTTTGTAATGACATTGAAAAGCAAAAAGACTACCCTTTAGGACAAAGGCATCATCCCACTCACAAATGTAATGAAGAAGCGTGAAATGGAGCCAATTTATATCACAGACCTTCTCGCCATTTATGACCACAAGCTATTAAAAATGTTCGTTTAGTTACTGAATAACAACAAACAACAATTTTTGTGGAGGCGCATTCGTCAACGCGACGTTCACCCGTTGTCGACGCGTAGACGCTTCAAGGTCAAGTTCGTGTTTAATTAACATATACAATTGTTTTATTCCAGTCGTACGTTCAAGCTTTGCAGAAGAAGGCTCAATGTGGCAACTGGAGCGGCGGGGGAGCGGGCAGCGGCGGTGGGGAGTGCAGCACGCTGCAGAGCGACTCTACACATCTTACTGTAGTCGCCGGATCAGAGCACGCTCCTCATACAGACTCCGATGATGACCTCAACCAGATACGCGCCGCGCATTAAACACGGTAATAATCATCATAATTATTATTATCATTATCATTGTCATCATTATCATTATCATTGTCATCATTATCATCATTATCATCGTCATCATTATCATTATCATAGTGTTCTAGTAAATTTCAACATGTCGAGCTCTTTGGGTTTTTTGTATTCAACCCTTAACGTCGATGTTTTTGAAATCTCGTTCGTCGAAAGCCATCTTTATTCTCGGTCTTCGAAAGCCGTTGAGTCTTTCTAGAGATACCTTCAACAAAACACTCACATTTATAATATTAGTTTGTTAATACTTGTCAATAATCTGTCTTGTATTTCCTGTTTCAGAATAAAAAGAGTTTCGATGGAGATACGCAGCTATGAAGATTTAATTTCATTCAGTATTACCTTATTGAGACCCAATTGTATTATTCTAAATGTAGTTATAATATCTTTTAATGGTATATTTGAATTTTTTATGCCACTTGATCGTATTATGGTTCTAGGCCTATAATACATAATTTATTTAATCTATTGCCAAATATTAAGTAGACTAATTATTTTATGACTTTACAACTTATTTAAATTCCCTACGAAATGATAATAAAAAGGAAAACATTTTAATCATATATTTTCTGTATGATATAGAAATCTTGCTAATTGTCTTTTTGAGATTCCATTATTAAAATAATATTTGGACTTTTTGACTTGAATTATTAGTGATATTTACATTTTATTTGTGATAATAATTTAATTATTCACTGCCATTTATAAGTAGCTTTTTAAATACTTCTTTAGATTATTCGTCGTTTGTTCGTTATTCTCAGTGTTTTGGTCTTGGACTTATTTAAATTGTGATTACACGTAAATATAAAAATAAGGCTAAATAAATACGTTTGGTAGACAGTTGAAATTTAAAAAAAAAAGCTCTAAAATGATAATAAAATTGTTTATAATTTTATTCTATGAATAAAAGATATATCAAGGTGTTTGGCCTTGTAAATCAATAGGATTGGCTTAATACCCTTGACTGAACAATTTATTATAATTACGTTTTATTTCAAATGTAAACATATTTAATAATGATTTAATTGTTTAATAGTTCCGTGGCATTGCTTTCCCTTGTCCTTTTCTTTCTGTGTTCATTCTGGTCTCATAACAGTTAAGATCCTGGGAGTTTGATTCAAGGTCATCGGTTTAATTAACGGGTCAGCTCTTCTGAAGAGTATAAATGTTACTTTTAGTACCGATTAATTATCGGTGAAAAACGTGTTAATTATTTAAATACAATTATATTTCAGTTGAATGTTTTTGATAGTTCATTTTATGCTATTTTCAATGCTAAGCATTTGTTTTTTTTATGCAGAAAGATTTATTGTGAATAAAATCCATCCGACCGTGATGTTAATTAAGTGTTAAATATAAGGGCGAGTTTCCACTGTCGATACGTATGTGTCGGTACCATGACCGACAAAGTTATCTGATCCGGATGACATAAGTCAAATTAAATTATGACAGCTCACTAGCGCCACTGGTAAAAATGTGTTACAAGGTCTTTGTCGTATTTGTCTTTTTATCTATAACCATCAAGGTTTTCTACAACCATGTAGGTTTTATATATTTATGACAAAAATGCGACACCAGCGCCTCTCACCGGATCAGATAATTTAGGTTTATCAATGGCAGCTAACATTCCAAAAATACGCACAATAAAAGATGAAAGCATTAAATGCAAATGTTTTAAAATATCTACATCGGTCGGGTGTGATACGTACATTCTATTCAGCGTGTGATATGTTTTTTTTTTATATTTTGGCCAAAGTTTATTTTAGTTACATCAGCTGTTAACAAAGAGCCATGTAGGGATGATCGATGAACGTCCATTTTACGTAAAATTACACAGTATTTTAAAATAATTTCTTTAGTATTAATTATGCAATGAAACGTTTTTTAGTAATTTGTCATCAATCCTTTGTATTTGATATAGACAAGCAATTGCCCGCGACTTCATCGCCGCGGAATTAAAAAAAAGGCTAGTCTATATCACCCATAGTGTAACTTCCCAACAGTAGAAGGTTTTTTCTAAATCGGTTTAGTAGTTTCACAGCAACAATAAAATGTTTCCTCTTTATAATATTAGTATATATTAACATACATCGTATATTGATTTCATTAAAGTTATTAAAACTTTTTAAAAATTTAATAAATATTATTTATTAAAAACTTTCAAAAACATCGACCATCCCTACCGCAATTTCTTAAGTATTTATAGATATGTTGCGAATATTGATTAAGTTGAAATGTAAATGCCGAATAGCCGAATGTACTTGGCTCAAAAAAATTTTTGCTACTTATAAAACATTTTTTTTCGAGTATTAATCAATTTTTAATTGTGTATTTAAGTTGCAATGGAAGTTAATGTAGATTTATCAACAATATTAATATTATAGTTGAACCTGGATAAACAAAACCTCGATAAGGAAGAGAAATATCGCCGTCACTTAAACTCTCGCTTATCCTGGTTCAACTGTATTGTGAACTATGCTAGTTTATTACGGCTATTTGACAATATCAAGTGCACAATCTGTCGTTTCCCCAAAAAGGGTTTTTGATTTTTTTTTTATAATTAAATTGTTGATTACCAGAAACTCAAATATTCTTTTATCAGATAATTCGTTTGCCAGTAAACTGGTCAAGTTTAGATGTTAAGGGGAATTTTATAAAAATTGTGGTATTAATCAATGAAGGAAAATCATGTTGCAAAAGTTGATGAAAAATCGTGTATATATTGTAATCATAAGATAGACTTAGGTAGAGTAGGTATTATTTTTGTGGTAACATTACGAAGGATTTAGTTTCGATGTAAGTTCTATCCACTCATCCGCTCAATGTCTAGTCTTACATATTCTGGATTTTTTCTCCATATTTATATTTAATATTGTAATCGATTTCTTAATAATCATATATAATCATATTTTGTATATCACTCATATTGCCTTTTAGATTTATAGTCGTAAATATTTGATATTTAAATATTTTTTTAATCTGTTTAAAAATCTTACCATTAATATTGGAATTATCTGTCGTATTTAATTTTGTTTAATTTAAGAATCATATTGTTTAAATGTCATCATGTTTCGCTTTCCTATTAGAATTATTGTATGTTATTTTTTTATTGTTATTCTTATTTGCACGTGATTATAAATTTGTATCCTTTACTTTAATATGATTATTTACCTCATCAATTTGTTTTATTTTTTTTTCACCATCAATCATATATTTTCGTCAAATTTCATGAAAAATTCTTTCGAGTATTGTATAAAATTTGCGACATTATTCACTTTTTTGATGACATTTCTAGTACATGTCTCATTACAGTGCAAACTCAGTTTCTTATACAAACTAGTAATACAATATCTTCGCTTTAACTGCATTAGCATTTACAAAATCAAATGTTTAATAGATGTTATTTTATTCTACCCACCGATTCCGCTTAACGTCGAAATAAATATAATAAATCTACCAAAATAATTGTTCAAGATAATTCTTCAATATAATAAATATTAAGAAAGGTATTCTATAGATTATTATCCTTCATGTAGTTAAATGTCTAATACAAACAAACTAATACTCGGATTTCAACCCGATATGGGTTTTTTCATTATAACATCAGTTGCTATATCTACGCCATTTTAAACTAGGCATGCGGTTTCCTTTCTAGCACTCAAGAATTTGCTTATTAGACGAAATATTTTAACTCTGATCCCCTCCACCGAAACATCTAAACAAAAACATATTTGCTATCTCTATTTTTAAAATAGAATGAGAGGACAATATCAGTGAAAGTCAACGTTAAGAAATTTACTTTACTATATCTTTAGTTTCCCATTTTGTCGCAAATTACCCCATTTGTAAGAATTTTGGATTAACCACGCACACAATTCATAAATAAAAATTCTATAATATTAATTTGTATGGCTAGAATCATATAGATAATACGGGAATTCATAAAAAAAATAGTTTATATGGCCATTATGTCTGCCAATTTTTTGACAAGATTATTAAAATGTATATGTAATAGCAATTTGAAACGTACAAAGCATTGTTTTTTGCTAATAAAATTAAAAACCACTAAAAATTCAATAATAGAATATGTTAGTTTAACTCTAATTAACGATAAAAAAGTATAGATAAAAAATTACAAATGTTGCCATTGCACTATCGAAGTTTTTGCCACTAAAAAATTTTTTTCAACGACTCTAGATCGGAACAGTACAATAATTAGGATTATTAAAACTATACAAAAATTGCATTTAACTGTAACCATGGGTTTCCACTGCGGAAAGATTTGTTTAAAAACATATTGTTTTCTTTTTTTTTTCAAAGTTCTCTTTGAACGGAGAAGGATGGCGATTTGTTTTTATGCAGTAGTTTCTGCAATGGAAACGCGTGGTTTAAATGTGAACACTGCCAGCCTTAAGACTTGTTTGTTTTCTCTCTGACTTGTGATATCACAAAGTACAACTTAAAACAATATATTACATACTTACCTGAGTAGTTATTTGGCTCCTGTTCTAAATACATATAGGGTTATAATAGCCAGAGCATTTATAAACAGTAATTTTATTAAGTCTTTTTTTGTGTTAATGCTCTTAAAGAAATATTGAATAAATTTTTGATATAAAATACCATAAATAATTATAACATATTTGGGCTAAAATATCTTTACTATCAGTCGAAATTATAGATGTAGATTTTAACCACTGATATAAAAAAATATACCGCGACGACCATTTACTTAAATACTTATTTGGCTAAACGCTATTATGAGTGTGCGACAATAAAATATTTGTACTTAATTGCTCAGCAATAATAAATTAAAGAACGAAGTAATAATTTGATAAATTAAGTCGTTTGTCAGTGATATTTGCGGCAAAATTAATCGTATTATACACATAATAATATATATGTATCAGAGACAGCTTCACAGCAATATTGAAATACATCGATGTGTAGGTAATACATATTT